GGGTAATGATAAAGCAGCCCTAAGTGTCATTGATTACTTTGGAGTAAGATGAAGGTACCTGAATCTACAGTACACTAAATATTAAGAGTGAATAATAAAAAGCATGATCAGGCAATCGCAGGCTTGCTATCCTAAACTACTGTGAGCTTAAGGTTTCTATTTATTCTTGTTAATAAAAGTTATATATTTTTCTGAGTGTTACTCTCTAATCAGGCCCCTTTTATTTAGGTTAAAACTAATGGTATATACTCCTTATGTATGCGTATAGTTAGATGTTCTATCTAGAAGTAATACAACTAAAACAAGAGACTTTGGTGCAAATTGGTAACCTAAACGATTTTATCATTGCCTAAACGATTTTATCATTGGATTATTATCAAGTTGCAACATTTTAATTTTTGCCCACCACCAAAATGGCCAGTGAATTTCACAATTTTACAAAATAAACTAGCCACTCAAATTCAATAGATAACTATTGTTTTTTTTAATAGTGAGTCAGGCAAATCGACCAGCCAAGTATATTTTACCAGTATTTGGCTTGTAAACTGTGCTAATATTGTACCCTACTAATAACTTATCTATGAAGCATTAGTCAACAATGTGTTATTATTAATAGAACAATTATTTACAACTAACCCTATTACCCTGTTCTCTATAGTTGCAGTTTCAAGTGCCATAAATGTTGCTCAGGTAGCATTTTACCTATATAAATCAATAATCACTGCAAGATATAACATTGATTTGTACTACACTTCAAATAGAAGGCTATCATAGAGTATTACTGATTGCTGCTTTTGCTCAGAAACTTTTAAAAAGTAGGTTTTGAGAATGAATAATTACCATGCTGGTGAGACTTTCTTTCTTGTTCTTCTTGTGCCTGATTGATGGAGAACGCAGCAAATTCCTGATGCGACTTTTAATCGTGAACCCATTGCCTGGCATTTTGTGGCACTTCTGACAACTCTGACAACAATCCACTGGACAAGTGAATGCAGCAGGGCTGGAGAAGGGAATGAAAAGCCTGTCAAAACCTCCCACCAACAAGCCTCCCACCAGGCAAACTGTAGATGTTCACAGAGTCGGACAGTGTTCCTGCTGCCGGAACTTGTACACGATAATCTCTTGAGTGGGTTTACTGGTCTCTGCTGTCTTCTGCAGCTTGTCGCTTCACATCAACAGCTTCTCATCTCCCAACACTTCTGGACTGATGTTGCCTCAACGCTTCGGTTTGCACTGACAAGGGGAGGGGGAACAATCCGTTGCTCAACTGTTTGCATCCATTACATCACTGGATTAATCTCCACCTGCAACAGTCTCATGATTACATCAATGATGGCTTTTGTTGCTGTTGTAATTGATTTAATAGGATTACAGAGAGGCCACCGGCAGACTTAAGCCGCATGGCGGATGTTTGAGTAGCTCAGTTTGTATGCTGATTGGACGATAAAACATACCGTAATGCGGTGGCTGAGAGGTGCAATCGACAATTACAAAGTGTGAAACACTTTAACAAAGCTTGAGACAAATTTACATTTTATAAAACAAATTTACATTTTATAAAAAAAATTACATTAGCAAAACACTTTTACCAAAGATAAAACAATTTAACATTAACAAAAACAAATTAACAGGATGCGAAACACTTTTACAAAGCTAGAGACAAATGTATAAGTGTCGAAACACTTTAACATTTCCTGAAACACTTTAACATTTCCTGAAACACTTTAACATTTCCCGAAACACTTTAACATTTCCTGAAAGACTTTAACATTTGCCGAAACACTTTAACAAACTAGAGAATCAAACCGGAAAGGGAATGCCCATCATACCAGAAGTGACGTGAAAGTGATTGACACAAACCTAAGTTTGTTTTGGCGGATAGACCGCCGGTACCTATGGACCTTTAAGGTCGTTAAACATGTTTTGTCCGTTCTGTGGAAACCACCTGGGCCAAGTGACTTGGTGACATCATGGTTTTGCTCATCACGATTTACTTTCTCTTGTGCAAGAGATACGTTCTCGTGCACACGAGAAAGTTACAGGTTCGCCAAGTAGGAAGTGGAGCTGTGCCTTTTACACACAGCCTTCGCTGTGTTTACCTTCATTAGACAGCTAAAGAGCGACTGCAGGCTGCTTCGTTATAGCCACACACACCTCTCGACACACACACACCTCTACACACACACACACCTCTACACACACACCTCTACACACATCGAACTGCCCGATTATTACGCCTTATTATTCTATTTATGAAGGAAATGTCCGGTCACCAGGGCGTGTGTGTGTGTGTGTGACACTGGCATTTGTTTATTTCGAAGATATTAAGATACTGTCGTCCGTTCCGGTACTGCGGTCAACTCAGCCGTCTCTTGGCGTTTGCTTGGTCAAATCAGCAGCTCTTCATTTTTGAGTGCGCAATTAATCGGGCCTTTACGGTAATCGCGAGAAGCGGCACTGACGCTAGTAGTAGGCTACAAGAGTAAAACAATGCATGTTTTTTCTGCTTTATTTGCGATACAAATCATTTGTACCATAAGTTCTTAATAAAACTGACACTGTTTGACTCAGTCCTAGTTTGACTGTTACCAACAACAAAATGAAGTACTTTTAACGTGTACTTTTTGGGTAATACTCTCTCAAAGTCCCCTCCTGAGAACAAAATCATGCCGCTTCTGCTATATTTGATGAGAGATAAAACGATTTTTAGCCATAAGTTCTTAATAAAATTGGTACTGTTGGACTCAGTACTTCTACCACAAATACAATCAACTACTTTTACTGTGTACTTTTTGATTAATACTCGGTCAAACTCCCGTCCTGAGTACAATAATTCCTGTATTCTGCTGAGGGATAAAATTATTTTTTGCAAAAGGTTCTACATGAAATTGATACTGTTGGACTCAGTCAGTACTAGGTACTACTTGGACTACTAGCACAAGTACAATCAACTACTTTTGCTGTGTACTTTTTGATTAATACTCGGTCAAACTCCCGTCCTGAGTACAATAATTCCTGTATTGTATATGAACTATGAATTATTGTACTTGTGGTAGTAGTCCAAGTAGTACTCAGTCCAACAGTATCAATTTCATGTAGAACTTATGGTAACACATATTTGTATCCCTCAACAAATATAGCAGAATACATGAATGATTGTACTTAGGAGGGGAGTTTGACAGAGTATTACTCAAAAAGTACACAGTAAAAGTACATTGTATTTGTGGTTGTAGTCTGAGTCCAACAGTACCAATTTTATTAAGAACTTATGGCTAAAAATCATTTTATCCGTCATCAAATATAGCAGAAGTGGCTTGAATTTGTTCTCAGGAGGGGAGATTGACAGAGAATAACTGAAAAAGTACACAGTAAAAGTAGTTCATTTTATTGTTGGTAGAAGTCAAACTAGTACTGAGTCCAACAGTGTCAGTTTTATTAAGAACTTATGGTAAAACATATTTTTATCAAAAATATATCACAAAAACATGCATTATTTTACTCTTGTACTAGCGTCAGTGCCGCTTCTCGTCGATTACGGCCCCTACACACGGCGGCGTGCGTTGACGCTTGGCAGTGGGCGTGTCTTGAGCTTGGGGAGTTTACGCGAGCAACACGACCAACAACCAATCACATGAATCTCTCCTGTCAATTGCATAAAAGATTTTACATGTCACACTTTATATGATGAACATTTATGACATTAATGTCTATGGTGCTATTTTACGCAACATTCCATGCTGGCTAAATACTGTCTATGCCTGCTAGCTGTCCATTCAAACGAAGTACACTGGATATAAACACCCCAAACAGGCGAAAACCTACCAGTTTCACCCACGGTCTCTGCCACCTCCCTCCATGCCTGGCTCCTGTACATTTGTTTTATAAAATGTAAATTTGTCTCAAGCTTTGTTAAAGTGTTTCACACTTTGTAATTGTCAATTGCACCTCTCAGCCACCGTAATGTTATGCATAATGGCTAATCTGTTGTTTAATATGCAAATGTCTCTACGTTAAAGTAATCTTCACTTTTCTTCACAGTGATATTCAAATGGCGTATGCACGTAGCGCTAGGCTAGTTATTGATTGAGTTATTTAATAAGATGTAAAGGCTCAAAGCATGTTGGTGCTAATTATGTTAACCTGAAATGTTTGATCTAAAACAATACAAGTCATACTTTCTCGCGCTGTCCTAATTTTACAAGTAAAAAGGTTCAAACGTAATCAAAATTCTGAATGAGTGCTCTTCCGGGAAAAAGTAGACGCCCCCGATGACGCCTGACCAATCAAAATCATTGTAGAGAAATGTAGCTGACCATACAGTCTATGATTATTACATGTAATAATACATATTAAGAAATGTAGCCTATTGTTGATATGCTATAGGGATCTTTTTTTTAAAAAAATACTTCACTTGATTTTCTTGGGTTTTACTAAACTACATCTACCCTATTTTACTCGTAAGAGTCAAGTGATGCCTGATGTTATCCCTCATTTGTTTTATCTTAATGTCTCATGCAGTGATGACTACTACAATAAAGAAATGTAAAAAGAAAGGATACCTTTGCATACATTTGTGTACACCATGACTTGTAGATTGTGTTCCATTACTAACTTTTGTTATAATAAATGAAATATATAAGATGTAATTGAGCAACCATGTCGTTTTAGTAATTAGTAAGAACACTCAAATAAAGCTTATGATAAAGTTCATTACTGTTGTGCATCACGTTCACACACCTTCATTTCCATATGTAAGGAAATACTTTACATTTGTAAAACTAAAGGTGATCTCTCATATCACACATGTAACAGCTGTCAGTTAGCACCAGCTACTGTGATTTGACGTAATGACAACTTGGTGACAAACAGCTACTGATGTGTTGCATTGATCTGCCCACAGGAGAGGCCCCATTTCTGCAGTGTTCAACAAGTGCATTATGAAAGAAGAGAAATTCTGTCTTCTTAAACACTTTGTGTTTCAGTGACTGAAGAGTGCCATAATAAATGCATGTCGTTTTTATTGATTTTAAAGGCCACATTATTTTCCACAATTCCAATCTTAGTTAAACAGGACAACCAGTGTTTCAAAATCTTCCACAAAGTTAAAGTAATTGTTTTTTTTTTTTTAAAAGAGGCAATATTTACAGAGGTTATTTTCATAGATACAATATATGGCTAATAGCTTTTCTCTTGATTGCTTGTGACTCATCAGGTTTATCTGCATATTAGTGAGTGAACTACCAAAAACACAGAACACTACAGCAAAGACATGGTGGTATCTACCAACAACATAAAGTGCTACTACACATTATTCACTCAGTTCATAACGGAAAACAGGAATTTCAAAAAAGGGATATATTCATCCAACTAGCTCTTTAAAAAAATGTAAAGACATAAGTTAACACATACATTTTACAGTTAATGAAGCAGTGTCTTGTCTGATCCTATTTAGGACAAATATTAAACATACACTGAATGGTTTAACGTTTTGGAATTACAGAATCTGCAGAGTTTTCTTATTTATATTTGCATAAAACAGATCAGTAATAAATGACTTCAACAAAAGCACATTATTTGATTAAATCTCAACATCCTGTTTCGGACAAGGAGGAATGTAGTTGATGGAAATTCATCTTCGAAAACATAATGTCAAAACTGAATGTGGGAGTTACCCTTCATTTGGTTCATACATTCAGCAGGTCAAATAATGCTTTCTCTTGCGTTTCTTCATACCAAAGCACCTGTGTACTTCTCTCTATAGTATGTAAAAAAAAGTCCTCTGAGTTTTGTGACAACATACAAAAAAAAGAGCAGCATCCAGCTATGTGACTAACTGAGGTCAAACCATTGGCTTTCTTTAGCTACAGCACGACAGGACTATTCGGATTCAAGCTCAGGTTCCAGTTCCTTTTCTACGTCTATCCACGAGCGTTTCTTTGCACTCGGGAAATCCTTTCCTAAAGAGCCTCGGGTTAGCGGCCGATAATCGTGGACTTCTCCGTGCCTGGTGGTGGTTGCAGGACTTTCCTCTGGGCTTTTAAAACAATAGGTTTGTCTGACCGGGCTGTCCTTGTTGGAACTAGATGGACTACTTCCTGCTTTCACACCCGGAGGACTCCATAGCTGTATTGTCTTTTTCTTCGGAGGCCTTCCTCTGCCTCGTTTCACCAGTAGGGGGTTGTCACTGACAACTCCTGGAGAGTAATCAGCTTGCATCTCGCTCGATGTCACAGTCCTTTTTTCACTTTGTGTCTCTTCAACCCCAATAGATGTTTCACTTTTACTCAGATTTACGCCAACGTCCTCTAGCAAACCATTTTGTAAAAAAGCACCACAAGGGGGAAGGGAGTTCTTTCGAGGCCTGCCTCTACCTCGGCGTACTACGGGAGGAATGACAGGGGAAGGAATGATGTGTACTGGCTGAAAACTCAAACAGGCAGTCTGCAGCGTTTTGTCCACGCTCTCAGCTGGGCCCCCCTCCTGGCTTTTCTCCACAGCTTGCGGAGTCCCCGAAGGCACAGAGATTGATTTAAGCAGGGTGAGCTCCACCGGGGCGGACGTTGGACCTGAAGACTTTGGTTTAGAGTTGGAGGGTTGTACAGTTTGGTCGTCCTCAAAATCACAACTGTTTTCGACATCTATAAAGAGCTCATGATCAGACATGCTCTTGTCTTGGTTCTCTGATGACTCCACTTTAGGAGGTTGGACATCAGCTGAAGGGCTGACTCCATCTTCCTCTCCTTTCTGCCTGGGTTGCATGACCGTGAGTGTGTAGAAGCCATGTCCAACTGTGAGAAAAGAGGTTAAATATACATGTGTGAATATAAATAAAGATGATTTGACTGGCATTAAATGATGGCTAAAGCCACATGTTTTCACTTACGTGGTTTCAGAGATGAGGGAAGTATGATTCTGCCAGTCTTGGAGCGAATCAGAGGAAGAGCAATGGGCTTTGGAGGCTCTGCAGGTTTTTCTTTTGGTCTAAATGTAGGCACGTGTGTGGACTTGGACTTGGACTCGGACTTGAGATTAGTGTTACAGACCTGGGCCAGGGACTCAAGTACCTGCAGAGGGTCCTCACTTTTCTGAGGAGCGGCTGGTAGTGAGTGTACCTGTTGAGGTATGACTTTCAGTTCACTGGGTTGAGCAGGAGTGCTTTGTAGGTCGGGCTTAAGCAGGGACATAATCTTCGTGTGCGCTGCAATCTGAAGAGGGTTAGCCTGAGGCGGAAGCTTCTGGAAGTCAGGGTGTACCCGGCGTCTGGGCTGGAGCTCCTCGTTTAGACCAGAGGTTCTCAGATCGACAGCTTTGGACTGAAGGAGATTGGAAAAGTAAGGCAATTCCTTCATCTTATCTCTAATCTTTTGCCTCTCGCAGATCTCATTCAGCTTTTGTTTGATCAGCATGTCCGGCTTCCCTAAAGAAGAACACACACAAGTTTCAGTAAAGAGACCCAGTGCTATCACCCATTTTGTAAATGCTGTTAGCCATAGCAACAACTGTGCTACGCTGCTCATTATCTATGCATTTTAGATAGAGACCCCAACATCATTTTTATTTTATTTTTTCTGATTAATTTTTACGTAGGCTATCCCTTATTTTATCAAATAATTAACTCAAGTTTTAATGCCTGTTAACGATAGCTGACATTGGATGCTCCAATTATTAACTGAAAGTGCCGCAAAGTCGCAGGGGTTGGACTTCACTTAAGTGTGAGAAGAATCGAGCCATAAGACGATGACAGGAATCGTTTCCCAAGTACTTTGAATTTAAACCCAATGGGATTATGGAAACTGATGTCAATGAGGAAATGTATAAAATGTTGGTATGATATATGGCTGAGCAGACACAGCCAGAACACGGTGAAGTGGTGTGGGTCAGAAAATGAGAGGGGAAACATGTTCTTCACCGTGAAATCCCTACTTGGTGGAATGAACCACGCTAACCAGTTCAGTCGTTTCACAGGATTACCTTTGTGGTCATAACACTCTTCAACTTATTTTCTACAATGGATTTTCAATTAAAACACAGTACATAAATCAGAACAAAGTGAGAAATAGTAAAAAAAAAACGACATGCAGCCACAAAAATGGAACCTACCGGACAACACAGAAAGCTCCTTTATATAAAGAGACTGCATCCGACTCAGCATCATCTTCTTCTCCTGCAGACTTCTAGACTCCTCAACCAGATGATTGATCTCTTGTTGGGCCTGCAAACAGGATACAACAAAACAAACACATTGAGTAAAGACCATGAGGGCAGCTATACACGCATGCATACATTTATTTGAAATAGGCCCTTTTTGTTGGGAAGTCATTCTTTGTTCTTCTTTAATGCTAATGAGGGGCACACTTCATTGAATATATTGTAGTACAACACTTGATGCCGACATTAGAGGGCATTTCATTAAGCTGTTTCTATTGTCAATCACAATTCGTTTGAATGTTCACAGCTATGTGATGTAAGAATGATTTGATTTATTCCATATACATAACCAAACATTTTTTTGAAGTAAGATTGGCAAGTTTTGGTTTGATGTGCAAATTAAACTAATGAACTTGCAGGAGTAGAAATACAAATGTTCTGTAAATGTTCCCCACTGTATTATTTATCTAAAAGCCTTTAAAAACTTGGGATAGGGGCCTGCATAAAAACACTATTTCCTGTTCAAATTGTTATTTCACATAGGAGATGTTTTTGTCTAAACGTCTTTTACTGGTTGTACGTGTGCTGGAGGAATATGAGGCTAAGCGAGGATAAGGAACTGACCATTGAGAGGAGGCGGAGCCTGGGGACCCTGGGGTCGCACTTAATGATGGCCGACAGTTTGTCGAACAGGTCGCGCTGCTCACAGCGTCTTTGTCTTTCTAGCACCGTATGGTTAGTTCGCCTCTTTTTATCCTTACTATCATCTTCTTCTTCCTCGTCTGCTTTATCCTGGAATAGAGACACAGACATTGAAAATGAGTACAAGTGATACTGACACTACTTGGTACTGAATAAGATAACAGTTACTACATCAGCCTACTATCACCTAAAGAACATATCTAGGATTAAAAGACTAATGTCACAGCAGGATTTGGAAAAACTTGTACATGCTTTTATCTTCAGTAGACTGGACTACTGTAATGGTGTCTTTACAGGTCTCACTAAAAAATCTATTAGAAAGCTTCAGCTGATTCAGAACGCCGCTGCTCGAGTCCTCACTAACACTAAGAAAGTGGATCACATCACTCCTGTTCTGAAGTCCTTACACTGGCTTCCTGTGTGTCAAAGAATTGATTTCAAAATACTGTTGCTGGTTTATAAAGCATTGAATGGTTTAGGCCCAAAATACATTTCTGATCTACTGCTAAATTATGAACCATCCAGATCTCTCAGGTCTTCAGGGACTGGTCAGCTTTCTGTCCCCAGAGTCAGAACTAAACATGGAGAAGCAGCATTCAGTTATTATGCTCCAAATATCTGGAACAAACTCCCAGAAACCTGCAGGTCCGCTGCAACTCTTAGTACTTCTGAATACTAACATCGGTCCATAAACCTGTATTGCTGCTGGATAATAAACAAGCCGTACCTGAGCAGGGGATTTCTCCGTTAGTCCAAAATGAATCATGGAATCTCTGAAGGTAGAGAAGAAATTAAAACCACTTTGAGAGCCAACATTCAAACATAAGCAGGACATATGCACAGGTCCACATATCACATTGCCTTTTATTCATATAATCACCCTGATTCCTTCGCAAGTGCTTTGCGGACAGCTTTTTTCATTTCAGCGATGGCCTTTCCCTGTCCTGCTTCTTCTACCGTCTCAATGTCCACTTCCGCGTCCTGAAGAAAACAACATTGAGCATGCAGTTTTAAGAGATATAACAATAACTAAAAGTAAAACAATCACAGGAATTTATTTGCAGATTTTTTGTATATAAATTCATTGTTATTCACATTTGATCTCTATCAAACTGTTGTGGTGCTGCATCATTATCCCCGCCTACAACAATTATTTTAGGGCTTAGTAAAATGTCTTTGTTTGTTACAGATGATCTTAATATCTATATCTATCTTAATAATCATTAGTCATTTTTTTCCAAATAGTGCAGCCCTAATCTAAAACAATATTTCAATTGGAGAAACAAATGTTTGCCTGAATATGAAGACATTTGGTATTCCTCACACTTACATCCTCCCCACAGTAGTCTGAGGTGTCGGAGCTGTCCGAGTCATCCGAAGCATTATCCACCTGACTGATTTCCTCTCTCTCCTCTTTTGGAATCTTCTCAGCACAATCTTTCTCCACCATTAGTGGAGCATGAACCTCATATGGGGGTTCAGGCTCCACTAATTTGCTCCTTAATAGATCCCTAGATCCAGTAACGGCGTCCAAACAAGACAAAGGTGCATGTGAACCCCGACCTTTGATCAAATTTAACAAAATCTCTTTTTGCGAAAGGGCTTTATTCACTCCACTGTTTGTGGTGTTCTCAGATTCTGATGCAGCTCCACCCACTGCAGGCTTTGGGAGCTGAATGAGGGTGAAGCCCCCGGGCAGCTCGACTCCTGGCAGGTTGGGGCCTGAGGTGCTCTGGTTATCTGGAGGGCAGATCCTGAATGAATAGGTCCCGCTCTCTCCTAAGAAGCTGGGGGTTTTCAGTGATGGTGAGACGGTGAGAGATACAGGGGAAGATGAGGAGGTGTTCTTGAAGGGTTTTACAGAGCCGCGTGCTCCAGCGATGAAAGGGGTGGTAAAGGGGATGCTGTGTGCATACTGCGGCATGTTGACAATCCCTTTTTCCAAAAGCATGGAGGGAATTGCTGAGCTGAATAAACAAACAATAGAGGGCAGAATGGTGAGACAAAGAAACAGTTATCCAATTCTAACATACCATTCTTATATCTCTAGACCGTTAAATAATTTAATCTATAAAGCTAAACCCTGGGTAACCCTTAGGGCTTTAGAGCGATGCAGGAATGAGACCAAGACCATTTTTAGCTTAGTGGTGTTGAAGGGTAGTCATTCGACTGTGATGTAGTTTGTTAATAGCCTAACTTTAGCTTTTTACTTCTGGTGATTGACTTTATTCTTCAAAAATCACTTAAGTGGTGTTAATATGTGGAGATGTTATACAGATGTTATACAGATCTTCAAGTTTGTATCTTCCTGGTCGAATGCACTTATTGTAAGTCGCTTTGGATAAAAGCGTCAGCTAAATGCAATGTAATGAGATTATCCTGCAGAACAAACATAAATATCATAAAACATGTGTTTTCCCACAGATTTTACTTTCTGCAATATTCTGAGATCCTGTTGCGTTTTCTCATGGGTGCCATCTGATGCTAACTTCCATGTCAGCCTTCAAAAATATGTACAAGTCTAATAGCAATGTTTAACACATAGACAGCAGCTTGAGTGTATACATGCATTTCCTCCTTGCACTTATGAGGAATCTTCCCAAATGTGAATGTACTGGTTTCATAACTCGATGTCTTTGGCCCTATTGTGAAGCAATCAGTGGAAAACGTAGTGCTTGTGCTGGAACAGAGAGGAGATTTGTACCTGGGGGTTGTGCTGCTGTCTTCAGATCAGTGGTTTTCCTTGCAGTGATAATTGGAGGGACTACTGTGCCTGCAGCCTTTATGTGCAGAGCTCCAGGAGTGTTGGTTTTGTTTGTAGGGTTGGACTTCTGGGAGTTTTTAAGAGAAGTGCCGCCGGGAGGATGCAGTCGGCCTGTGACAAATGCTGCAAGGCGGTTGGCTGGATGCAGAGATCCCATGTTCCCCAGCAACAGTCTGGCCTGGTTGTAGGATTTTCCATTTACCTGTAAAAGGAAGAAAAACTTCAGATATGACTCACTATACACTTTGTTCATGTATTACCAAATGTGGTTCCACCCAATAAATGTTATGTATAATAGGCATTTTTTCTCTGACCTGTATAAGTCCAGATGCTTGGCAGCCAACAGCTTTGGTCTTGGCTCTCAGTCTGCCCGCAGGTAACACTCCGGTCAAAAAGGGTGTGACTCCATACTGCATTTCCGACTCTTCATTTTGCCCATCGTTTTCCTCTTCATCAATGCTCCCCTCGTGCTCATCCTCCTCGCTGCCCGCATGTTCGTCTTCCTCAACATCACTGACTTTTGATGGTTTACTAATGTGTACCTGGGAAAAGGTGGAGCAGAAGGAGAGATTTAAATCAAATGAGATAAATGTCAAATTGTGCAACGAGGCCTAACGCCATATTTGAACTAAAAACTAAATAATATTCAGTCTGGTTTTGGATCAGCTGTTTTTCATAATCATTTAAATATATCTTCAGTCAAGGCAAAAGCAATAAGACATTAAGATGTTGTAAACAAAAGATCTATTTAGGAGATAAAGACAATACTGACAAAATAGTTATTTCTCTGGATTCTAATAACGCAAAAAAAAATTAACGCCACTAATTATTTTAACGCATGTGTATTTTTTGTCCTCGGCCGCCCCGTAGTTTCAGAGCGCATCGAGTTTAAAATACCATCTACAAGCTGATGCTGACAGCCCCGCTCCTGCCGCCCGCTTCAATGACATTTCACCGACAACTGCGCCGAGCACTTGACTTTATGCAGGTAGCCAGACAGTGGGACATTGTACGAAAAGTCAGCACACTCAGTGCGCGCAACATGATTGCAGCATCCAGGCAGCTCCCGTTCGAACACACACACACACACACACACACACACACACACACACACACACACACACACACACACACACACACACACACACACACACACACACACACACACACACACACACACACACACACACACACACACACACACACACACACACACACACACACACACACACACACACACACACACACACACACACACACACACACACACACACACACACACACACACACACACACACACACACACACACACACACACACCACACACACACACACACACACACACACACACACACACACACACACACACACACACACACACACACACACACACACACACACACACACACACAGTATGAGAGAGGTTCTAGGTTGAATTGAGGCGAATATTTGTAATGTTCAGAGGTTGTTGTGTTTAATATTCATGAGAATATTTGTCATTGTTCAAATGATAATAAACAAACATATAAAGCATATTTGTCCACTCATATGTTGATAAGAGTATTAAAAACTTGAAAATATCCCTCTAAGGTACATTTAGAACAGATAAAAAATGTGCGATTAAATATTTTAATCGACTGACAGCCCTAGTATTTATTAAATAGATCCTGGACTTGAAACACTTGTTACTGCCCACAGATGCATCACTCGTCATATACCTACCCTATAAGTGAAGATGGAGCCGCTGGGCTTCCGTATGAAGATCTTGGCGATGGGGCGGATGTGGTAAGGTCCTACCCAGAAGTGCTGGGAGAGCCTATTCTGATTCATGCGCCGAAATAAAGCTTTCAGGACCATTTTACGGTCCTTGGTCCATTTACACGCCGAGGAGACCTCGATTTGCTTTTTTGCCTCGCTTTCATTGGATTCAATCTTCTGAGAAGCCTTTTCCACTGGGGAAAAATTATGGTTGTGTTAAGCAACAAATAGCAGAGTATCTTCAATATCACACAGTCAGGCCTGTCAGATATGCCATCCAGGCCATAGAAGGAAAGCAAAACAAGTGCAAAAGAATACTTGGGAGTAAATGATTTGAGGATTTCAGTTAATGGTTAATTGTTTACATCAAATGATGTATTATATATTTTCTTTGCTTCCTCACCTTCTTTCTCAACACTCGGTAGATTTTTGAGGCAGTTAGTCGGCTGGTCATCAGTGGTGTTCTCCTGGGGTTTAGCTGCAGTGTTTGCTGTAGAAGTATCAATGAGCATGGGCTCGAGGGAGAGTACAGGGGGAGGCTTGGAGTTGAACGCTCTTACACGTGCGCATGTCATCATGCTCTCCAAGTATTTATACACTGGATCCTTATCCTCTTCTCGTATCTGCAATCATGATTTATATTTCAATTTTAAATGACAAAAAAAGGGATAAAAGCTTAAGCTTAAGATTCTTACACTTAGAAAATAACAGCTATTTCACTACAATAAGCTGAAATGTTTTGGTAAAAGCATGTATTAAACCTAATAAGAGAGAAATGTAGTTTTACCGGTTGGTTATTCCGAGATACAATGCCACGTTTTAGGAACTTCCCAGGGGAAGACCACGGTGGAGCACACTTGGGGGTGAAGATTGGATCTGGATCCTCACTGTGAATGTTGTAGTTCCACAGTTTCTTAGAGTGCGAGCCCGGGCGAGGCTGGACCACATGTTCAATATTAGTCACAGCTGGGGAAAGGGGGGACAAAACCATATCATTACAACTTTGGAGATATTGAAGGTTGTGACCAAACTTAGAAAGGCTAAAAAAGTTTGCGTTCTATAGTTCTGTAATAAAAAGGTAAAACCGTTGCATTCCTTTTAAATTATGTTGTGAATGAAACGATGCAGTGATCTAATTGCTTAAAATGATATAAAAAATAGTTAAAGATCCAATCGATTTTAAAACAAACATTTTAAAGACATAGAACAAAGAACAACATCGAGAAATGATATCAAAGCAACGCGATCTTACAGTAAACCGGTTGGATGAGTTCTTCGCGCTCCCCCTCTGCCAGGTGCTTGGTGATCTTGCGTTTGAAGCATGTGCAGCCCAACATGCAGTCAGTCCTCCGGCAGTGGAAGGGTCCTCTGTTGAGGCGCTCCAGGCTGGAGCACACGCAACCCAGAGTGCAGAACTCCTTACCACATTCGGCTCCGACACTTTGGACATTTGGACAATGGAGCACTTTCACCACCTGCTTGGACTGCATCTGATTCAAAGTAAACAAAACTCATCAAAACAATTTTAAATATGACAAAAATGACACTGTAAAAGAACAATAGAAAGTGTGTTGCATACCTGTTTAGACAGGATGACAGACAGAGCCACTGACAGCCTGTCTGGAGTCAGCTGGGTTCTGCTCAAACCCTGGTTCTGCGCATTGAGCTCCATGTGCCACAGTTTGAGCTGGAACTTGGTAAAGATGGGTTTGTGCATCATGTGACTCTGCAGGAAGCTCACTGCTGCTTTCTGGCTGACCCCTGTCTGATGTGTAGGGAACCTGAAGAGACGGGATGAAATGAGCCGATTACAATGTACTATGTTTTTTACACAAATGAAAATATGTTATGACTATACGTGTTCACATTTTCCTCCAATCAGGATATAAAGTCCACATAAAATAAAGTAAGACATTAACTCAAGAGTAACCACGTTTCTAGGATTAAAAGAAATTAACCTGCATTTTTATAAATAAACATTGCTAGTAAGAGCTGTAAAATGGTAATGATCTCGTTTATGAATAACGAGAGCAAAAGAACAAATTCAGACTTATTGTAGAACACACATTTTGTAGGGATCCCTAGCTTTTGGATGTCATCGGTTAAGGAACTGTAATATTTTAACAACAGTAGCTGATTCATTTAAGAAATGACTTTTTAAAGGACCCGAGGGATTCAATGAAAACAGAAATTCTTTGTATTTGGACCGATCATTTTACAAGATGTGAAATGTAGCCTTAGGCTTGAAAATGTCTTCTCAGAACACAGATGGACTGAATTGTTCTACACCAAATAAAATAGACCAATTACAACCCAAACAAAGTAAACAAATGCTCACCTTGGGCCTGCAGGTGGTGTGGGTGAAGAAGCGGAGGGCTGTATGGACGGGGATACTGATGGAACGGGGCTGGCCGGTTTGCCCAGAGGAGGAGGCGGTGCTGCCAGGGCGGAGTAGAGAAGGGGTTTGCGGGAAAGAGGGCAGGGTCTGTTGGCCCCTACGGGAAGCTTGGAAGCATGTCGTTGATGCTTGAGTACGCTGTCCAGGGTCTTCACATAGCTGGAGCTTTTGACGGGCAGCTGATAGGCCACCAAGTCTGAGTTTGTGGTGAAGGCCGCAGAGCGTTCGCTGATATAATGCGCCTCGCTTTCCAAGTACTCATCCAACATGTTGCTGCAGAACGCAGACAGGTTCTTCTTTGGTCCTTCAGGAGAGAAGGAATGGAGACAATTATGTCATATACTATCAAGGAGGGTTGTTAAATCAGATCCTTACATGCGGCTGGTTATAGTGCAGTTTATCACTTGGTTGACTACTATTAATCCCGTTGCATGACAAAAGGGAACTATAATAAAACGAGAGAACCTTACCTTCACATTTAGGAGGAGACGTGTCTTTGCTTCTTATGAACTTGTTTCTCCATCCCTTTATTTTTGTCACGTCGCTTGTCTTTCCTGTCCGTGAGATGAAGGATAATCCCTCATCTGTGAAGGAAACATAATGCGTTACACTTCCATTAAAGACACAGTGTGTTAATATGGGATGTTTCACAATGTTTAAGTGCTACAGTGGAATAGAGAACTACATTTATTTAAGTAAACAGTATGTTCATTGATAGAAAATCAGCTGGCCAACAATATATATCAATGTAGTAAAGCACTTCCTGTTCACAGTAAACTGTGACTCCCTGGGTTCAATCTAGGGCTGTATCCGAATATTCGTTCGTTGGAGTACTATTCGGGTTTCAATTTCGTTATTCGGATATTTGTTTTTTTCCGTTTTCAAATTGAATTGATTGAAAACTCCAATATCAACGTAAGAGCTTGTGCTTCTTCGGGGGGTGCTAACACTTAACCATAAACGTTATCGTTTACTTTCTCCGTCTTCATAATGTAGATATTACTTTTTCTCCGTTAATCTCCGTCACGTTGTTTCCATAGCAACAACAACTTCCTGTCAACAGCGCTAACTCTCCTTCAAAATAAAAGCATGACCATACAAAATAGGAAGCCAAGCCAAATTACACATATACAACTGCAACGAAAGTAACAATCCTTTTCAATTTCAAAGAACACAAATTGGGTTATATACATTAACAAATAACTATAAAACAACAATACTGTAGAATAGCAAAATGAATGCCGTGAATAAACCGAAATACACGCGTTGAAGCGGTTCGCTGTTGATTACTACGCCAGTTTTTATTAGTGGGAAGCAAAGCCCTTAGTTTAAACACCTCTCTGAGAAGAATATTCACAGGCTTGTTTTTTCAAAAGTAGGTGTTCTAGAAACTGCATATTGCCAGACCCCTGTTTTCCTGTTTTATGTTGATGTCTGGCAATACATGGAAACACAAACAGACAACTTTTGGAAGCTTTACCAGGCCATGTTCTGAAATAAACTTATATAATTTCCTGCATCAAAGATCCTTTAAGGCTTTAATCTGACCTGACTGACAAACTACAGCTGATGCAGGAAGAGGTAATTATCACTCAGACTATCGTAATGTATCCTACTAAATACATTAGGCTATGTTATGAATGTGCCGTCTAAATTTAGAGAGAAGCAGAAAGAGAGATAGATAATTGTACCGTAAAAAAAAAGCGCTTAAAACTTTGTAATATAAATGTATTTAATCATTCTTGACCTTAAATCTTCAATGCCCTAATACTGGGTATAAACTGAGTCATTATCCTTGCATTGAGTAAAACAATTAACAGTTTCATTTCAAAAGCAGTAGTTCAGTGCTATTTCATTCATCATTATGTTCAATTATAAAACGTATTCCTGATTGAACATGACCTTGGTCGAAACACACATCTAAACCATTGACAAATTATTCCTGCATTAAAGGTCACTGCCAACAAAAGATACGTTAAGACTGTTACAAATATAATAAAGTAATCATATAGTCCGGAGACAAACTGTCCAAACAGAGCTAATTAAATGCCCCCGGACAAAGCATTTTCTTCAAAGAACCTGCACAAACTTTCAAAGATGAATCCAACTCACCACCTTGAGACAGAGCCGTGGCGTTGCCTTGATCTTTCAGATTTGGGGGAGGTAGCGGCAGACGAACCCCCAGATACTGCAGGTCGATGGACCTCATTGTGTCTAGGGAGCTCAATTTCATACCCACTAAAAACAGATTTAAAAAAAAAAAGTAATTAAACAACAGAAAAATATCTACACTTCCTTACTTTCTATGACCTACTCAAACACTAGGATGTTTATCCCGATGTGTATGAACTCACCCTCCTGCAGAACCGGATGGATGACCTGTCTGTGTTTGAGGATCACGAGGTCCCGCAGCAGGATGGCCTCCGAGCGGGATATCTGCTCCTCATCTGTCTCTAGAATCACCTCGACTGAAACAACACAGAAATGTAGTCAAAGATTGTGCACATTACATTTGAATAAATAGAAAGTAGTGACAAGAGGTGAATGCAGAATTTTCATAACAATCAATATAGGTATAACATTTACAGTACAGCAGAAGTGCATAAAAGCATTTGTTACAGACGTCAGCCAAATGAAAGAAATCTTTGAAATGCTTACCTTTTTCCTCCCACTGCATTGGTGTCGTTGGGGAAACTGGAGATGCTGATGGTGTGCTATTGCCCGGCATGTCCCTGATGTGAACGTCAAGAGCTTCCTGTCGCACAGACCAAAAGTTAAAGCTTATATACTTTGCAGAACTTTTACAAATGTGCACCAAAAATCACTCTTTCAACAACAAACCCCCTCTTATGATTGCAGAGACTACACACTCAATCAAAAATAAATCCTTAGGAGACATGGAGATAAGTACAGAGCGTTCTTTGCAGTCATTTCTAGTGTTTTACCTTTGAGGTAAATGACACAAACAGCAGGCCCTCCACATCATCCAGCTCTGGTTGCATAGCGACAGTCAATGATGGGCTGAGCAATACCGTGGGGGGTGCAGCCACAGCTTTCCATTCTCTTCCCCGCGAATTTGCCCAACGTTTGTTCATCCTTTTCTTCCTCTTGCGGTCCCCGGTGGAAGAACTCGGGCTAGGTGTTAAGGAAGTGGGTGTCATCGCCATTGGTCTAGGCTTTAGTTGATGCAGCTTGGGTGATATATCGACAGCGAGGGTTTCTTCCTTGGGTTTCACAAGTCGTCGTTGTTGAAAAAGCACAAGCTCACCGAGGGCATGTTTGCCTCTTATACAGGGGACATATGCCAAATCCTTCTTGGAAGGGTAGGACATTATGGGCTTCAGGACCAGCCTGGTGAACATATGCTCATTTGAGACAGTAGCAGGGATGCTGGGATCCTTTGAGCTGCAAGAAAGTAAAAAGAAGCACTGTTTAAAGACACTAAACAACTAAGAAATACAAAATGATATTTATAAACCTATTGTGATGGCACAGCATGTGGCAATGGTGTTACATTGGGTAATTCCAGCAGTTTAAGATGATGATGAAAGACCACCTCCACAACCAGAAACACAATGATTTTATACTATTTTTCTTTAATACCAGCAAAGGTGTTTCACTAAATTTGACTATTATAACCAGTGTGACAATAAAAATCTCCTACACCTGATGATGCAGTCATGGATAACAAGGGCAGATAGAAAGACTCCTGTTTGCAGCAAAACCTCCAAAATAGAAAGTGTGAGACGAAGACACCAAAAAGAAAACAGTGGATTGCTATCCAAAGACTCAGCAATAAACAATGATTTATAAATGAATCGCTAGTATTAAGTCTATATAATCCTTAATTGTGGTTGAAAACGTAAAATGGGTGTCAATTCAAATGAATGGGTTCTTTTGTGTGTTGTTAAGCAAATGTCCCGTTTCAGTTTCCTCTCTTCAATTTGGTTACAAAGTTTTTCTGCGATCCCTGTTCATCTTATGTTGAATCTAAGATGATCCTATTATTCTATCTATCAACCGTAAATATGGCCATTCCTTAAAATGGCATGCCAGAATTAATTTATCTTAAAGACATTTTAGATGAATGATTGAATTGAGGTTCCTTTGACGAGCTGGACACAGCAGTGGAAGGATGTGAATGAATGAACACACAAACCATTACATTATTCACATATGAAATACAACCAACGCATTTATTTATATATGATAATGTTGTAAATGACAAAGAGCTTTTCAAAAAGTTCTAATGCCATATGTAGATACATCCCCTAGCCACAATGCAATCCAGTACAGCAACTCTGTCCCATCTTGACCTTTACTGTGTGCAAAACAGAGAAAAAACACCTATATTTGAAGACTGGCAAGAATCTGTGTCTAAAAAACACAGTCTACAATCAAAAGGTATGTGCTATTTGTTGTTAACTTGTCTTATATTATTTGAAAACATAATTAAATGAATTGGAAACAAGCTGAAAATTACAACCCCGATAATAAACATATAATTAACTGAATACCTCCTTGACGAGATAAAACAAACCTGGCCATTATAATCTTAAAATAAATGGTAAAGAATTGGCTTAGATTGTACAGTTGCACATAAGAAAACTGCCAATAAGTGTGTGTATGTTTCATACCGAACAAAAATGTAATAACTTTAAAAATCTTACCTCAGATTGACGACCTCCTCCTTGTTCTCGTTAAGTCCAGCAGCAGGTGTTAGAATCGGCTGAGGCTCCATCTTAACCACAGGTGAAGCCTCTGTAGTAACCAGGTGAGTGTCCATATTCTCTAAAGGTTGAGCGACAGTAGAAAGCAGAGGAGTGTCCATCTTTTCCACGGGTTGAGCCTCTGTGTTTACCAGGTGAGTGTCCGTCTTTTCCACGGGTTGAGCCTCTGTGTTTACCAGGTGAGTGTCCTTCTTTTCCACGGGTTGAGTCTCTGCGTTTACCAGATGACTGTCCGTCTTTTCCACGGGTTGAGTCTCTGTGTTTACCAGGTGAGTGTCCTTCTTTTCCACGGGTTGAGCCTCTGTGTTTAGCAGGTGAGTGTCCTTCTTTTCCACGGGTTGAGCCTCTGTGTTTACCAGGTGAGTGTTCATCTTTATTACATGTTGAGCATCTGTAGTAATCCGGTTGAGGCGGGGGTTGTTTCCTTCTTCCCTAAAGCCTTTTGCAAACGGATTGTGATTGATTTTCAGCTGGGTGATCCGGAAGTTCTGATAGGTCGTGACAGCCATGAATTCGGTTTGTGGAAACGTAAAGGTCATGCTCTCTGGTCCCATAACCACAGGCTGGTCGGGTGAGGGTGCGTTCCCATCTGGTAACGGTATGACGTGGAGCCTCGGAATGTAGCGATGCATGGAGTGTAGGATTATATGGCCTTCCTGGTCATGGGAACAATTGGTCAGCTTGAGTTTGTAGAAAGACACCAAGCTACCCATCCACTCTGAGCCTAGACTGGGTGAGTAATGGTGGGCAAATGCCCGGATCATCGTCTGGGACTGGTGCTCTGCTGGTCCAGAGGCCTCCCATTTAAACGAGTTCCAGCGGTACCTGTACTGGTCCGATGGAGCTATGGAAAGGACCAGACTATATCGCTGATCAGGATCCAGGCCAGACAGGCGATACCGGCAGTACGGGAACATGCGGCGGCCCTGTTTAGTGAGAATCATCTCAGTTCCGCAGCTGTTGAACTGCTTCCACACGCTGTTATTCTCCAGAGTGACGCTGACGCCTTTGAAGGTGAGCAAAGTAGGAAAGACCTGTTCAGGGTCCGTACTGCCAAATGTGTTAGATGACAACACAGAAAATGGTAGTGTTGGGGATTGTGATGTGGGGACATGGCTTGTTTCTGTGCATGTCAGGGAGTCTGATGCTGATGCAATATGTGAAGTAGCTGGGCTTGTTTTAACAGTTCCTTCAAAGGTAGTGGGTGATGTTGCAGCAGGCTTTGCTGGGCTGGCTTCAGCAGGCGAAGAGAGAGCAGAGCTAAAATCATTACTTGCCATGGAGACAGCTTTTTCCTCAATCGTTGTCTCACTAGGTACGTTAGCTCTCATAGTGGTTGGATCAAGAGGAGTTGAAGAAGGGACAACAGGAGGAGGAAGAACTGAGGAGGGAATGTCACTGGAGCTCCCCTCCTCATGCTCCATAGGGTGGGGGTCCTCCATTGATGCGAGTTCAGAGTCTGTGGCAGGCATCACCAATGCATGTGGCGGTCACAATTCATTTGATACCTAACAGAAAATGACAAAATAATAACAGTTATATGTATAGCATGGTGATTTACATTTCCTACCTTATTAAACATAATTGCTAAAATCACACAAAACATAATAAAAAAAGAGAGAAGATAAATGTGACAACTAAATAAAAACCACATTTAAAAAACATTTTACTGGTCATCCAAGTAGAGCAAACACTGACAGAAAATAACCAAAAGTGGTAAATGTAAAAGCAAGAAATAACAATGTTCGCATTCAATACACCTAAAAGTGTGTTGATAGATCTACTATTATCAAATTGAAAAAATAAGCAACAAACTCACATTACAACATCCTTTAACTATATCTCCAACCCTTTTCAGATTGCAAAAACACTTCAGAGAGCTATTGAGTGCTGACATGTTTCAAGCTAGTTGTAGCATTAGTGGTGTTACAACAGTGTGCTAGCTGTAGAAATGACAGTTGTGGAAATATGTGGGATATTTTGGCTGCTCATAAACATGTCTTAAAGGTGGGGTAGGTAAGTTTGAGAAACCGGCTCGAGATACACTTTTTGTTATATTCCATGGAATGCTCTTAACATCCCGATAGCAATGAATATCTTAAGTGCTTTGACAAAAAATCCATAAAAAAATGTCATCTGTGGAAGCCGTAATACTGTAAAAAGCACGACCAATCATTTTAGCCGGCCCAGCTAAAATAACTGGATGGCCTACTTGCCTGTCAGCTTTCCATCTGTGCACAAACTTATCTCGTGCCCTCATTGGTCATGTGCGCGTTCGTGTGTGTTGGAGGAGGGGCAGATTTGCTCCGGCTGTGTATTTTCAAATTCTAGCGCACTTGAGCTGGTTTCTCCAAAATTACCTACCCCACCTTTAATTTATAGTGCATAAACATTTACTTTAAAATCACGAAATTAAATGACTGCAGGCTACATCAAAGTATTGGTTTCATATGACACGTAATTATTATTAATATTTTTTTGTATAAGGTGTGAATATTCATATTCAGTAATGCATAAAACACCCAACCTAATATCAAGATGTCCATGGTTTGTAAGATTCATACAACAGCACATTGTATCCCAATAGAATCCAACCAGAGCAATTTTAGGATATGTCGTATGCTCCTGAAAAATAAATTAGCTACTAATGGAGAAAATATAATTTATTTACAACCATTGGCCATATCCTTCTATGAGCTAGTGATGAGTTGTTCTACTGTGTAAGGACATATTTATAAACCTTATCTTACATGCGAGGCTTTCAAAAAAAGCCTGCTTTGTCAATATGTTTATGCATGTGTGGCTACACATTATGAAAGCATGATTTGTTGTGATGATGTTTCAGACCCTGTCTTGCAACATCAGGCAACAGAATAACATTCATAAATGAAATGAACTTCAGAGAGGTCAAAACCCCAAAACTGAGACACCAGGTAATAAAAGCAGTAGGAATTTGGTAAACACAGCATTAAAACACCAAAACAAAAATACGCCCCATATATTTGACCTGCAATCGTTAAAAAATAACAAACATGTGACTTATTATATTAACTTAATCAAATGGCACGAAGGTAGAAATGTGTCAGTATTTTTTTTTAAGTTTAATATATAATTTATTGACAGTCTGAAAATTTGGACTTTGTATTTCCTCAAGTGTGCTGCGAGACCACCTCGGTGTGACTGACCAATAGCCTGCGAGCCTGGTATCACACAGCGGAGGACATGGCTGAAGGGCTCGGATAGGCCTCGTTTTAAGTATCCAAAACACAAACAAACTAACGTTTCTTTAAGTATTTATTCGGGAGCAACCGTAATAAAATTCACAACGTCGACGACAGAGGACACGCTATCAATGTTTGCTTCATTTCTGCCTTGCCCTCTCTCTCTAGGTCAATGTATTACTCACACCAACAACACAGATGCTGTAGTGTAAAGGTGTTAACCGACCAAACGAGTGCGCAAAATGCGTTTTTACCGGCATGTTTACCACACGAACTCCGAATCCTTCTCCCTGTATAAACTTTTCCTCTTAAAATTATTAGTCACATGGAGAATTTAAGTTGTTTAGCAACAGCCATGTCTTCCTCACACACAACAGAGAGGAAGGCCGCCTGCTCCAGCACTCACCAAGTTGGAAAAGTTGCAGGTTTCTCTGACGCCTCACCTTTGAACGACGCCTAAATGTTTACCGAGGCAACATAACGATAACGTTCCCGGTAAAACTTCAACTGTTGCACCTCGACGTCGCCTGTCGAAAGGGCCTCGGTGTGTCCCTCGAACATAAACACAAATGGAGGCCGAAAGCCACGCCACTGTGCTCGCATCGACCGACCCGAGCGTGCACGCAGAGGAGCCAAAGCGCATGCACGATATCACCCCCCCTTCAATGGCGCGTGATTCCCGGGCCGCGAGGGAAGCGGGAGTCCACCATCCCGGAGATTTTTTTTCCTCGCTTGTTCCCACCTCGAGCTCAGTCCGCGCGCCGGTAAGGACAACTCTCAGCAAGTTTGCGCGAGAATGTTTCGTGCGTGTGATTCCCAAGCTGAGAGCAAAGACCCGAGACTTTACCTTCATTCCTTTGTATTTCCTTCACTTCTTCTACCTTTTCGATCACATTTCCATTCTCACCCTGTCTGAAGAGCACACACACACTCTCCTCTGCCCCTCTCGCTCACACATACACACACACACACATCCGTGCTCTCGTGCTGTGACGTAACACGTTCACCATGGCGGTGTAGATTCAATAGCCACTGCGCAGGCTCCCTCCGCAGGACTTTATCGGACACTTCTTTCATGCCTGAATTTCAGTTTAACAAACCCCCTTTGAGAAAAGTTATTTTAGAGCAGGTGACAAACAGTGCAGGTTCCTTGTCAACACGCCCCTGCAGCAAAGTATCAACATTGACCTACACAGACTTAAATTACTCATGGTTTACTTTTTTTAAACTGCTGAAACCAGACCGCAAAACAACGTCAACTGGCTTGTTCTCCAAAAAGATGGCGTCTGTTAGGTTCCGAAAAATCCATTTAACTGAATGCTTTCCCCATAAATGATTAACCAATAAAAAAGTCCTTTAGCCTCTAATTTATTATTGTGGTATTTATGAAGAACAACTAGACTAAAGTACCCTGATAAGAAGGTTACGAGGTTTTAAAATAGGCCGATCATTTATTTCCCAAAATAATCCACAGAAAATAATGTCCTAACGTGAGTTATTTTACTGAGCCACCAAACCTGCTGACGACACAATTGCTAAACAAAACAAGTCAGCACTGCAGCTCACTAAAGTCGGCTGAAATGCATTAGTGTCTTCAAATGACTGAGAAATACATTATTGTCATTTGTATTCATTTGAAAGCACAAACGCAGCGGATAGAACGAATGGCTCGCTTCTCAATTGGTGTCCAGAGAAGGGTGGGCGAGAGCCAATTCAATAAATAAACCAGGGGAAAAATGGCAAGCAAGCATGCATCACAGCTGTCACGTGCATGAGTGTAGACATGAGTTAACGCCAAATTAAGTGTAAAATCATCTGAGTCGTTTGTGTTTCCCTACATAATAAAGGACTTCCCGTCAAAGGTTCCAATGTAAGTTTATCATGTATGAAGAGAGAATTATGACAACATCAAGAGTAATGTGGTATCGGGCGAGCAGGGCGGGGTCTAAGCAGGACTAGGAAGTCGGAGCGAAGCCAACATGAACCTACCCGTCTCTCCTGTATTCCACGTGGGGATCTCGTGGCGATATGCTGCAGCCATGTTCCTGCTGTAGACCTTTATCCTATATTATCCCGATCCATTATTGCAAAACATTTAAAGCTTATCTTTGGTACTGAGAGTTGTACTCCCAAAAAGCCCTTTTAAATACACCCCCAAGTTTCATATTAAGACAATACAAAATGATTTTCCTCAGGGCAAAATCTCCCATAAAACTATTAAAATAATATTCATAATACATCCAGTTAAGCTACAGGAAGTTGAAATGTTTTTTCACACAACAGACCACTTATTTTATGTTATGTATTCACTGTACAATTGTATATTGGATCAGATAATTTATAATAATACAACAGTAATATCATTACTGTTTAATGATGACACAAGGTTATTGCTCACATCATGTAACACTGCATACATAGTGAGACTTTTTTAAATATCTGCAGAAAATAAAAAGAAGCCACTGTAAGAACACCTTAATAAGGGTGTGTTTTTCATTTTACTTCCTTAACAACAATACAGTGTGGAGTGACAGCTACCAGATTGTGATGTCACTAAGGTAAAATCAGCAGTGGCAGCACAGACAAAGGAAAGTGCACAGACTTTGTATAGCCTTTGTGAGCCTCTGTCGCAACTGTCAAACCTAATTTAAAATTACCGTGAACAGGCACAATATTTATTGTATCATCACCGTGTAAATACGGGATTTTGAGTTAAGAGTGTAGACATAATGCATATATATTTTTTTTTTATGTGAAGGGATTACATTTAAAGAACAGATGTAGATGTCATGGCAGAAGGTAAGAAATAATGAGAAACTTTTCCAAAAGCAGTCAGGCTTAGCTTTGTGAATTAAAGGCACTCATATCTCATGTTATTGACACTAAAGTATTTTACGAGTTAATGTTTAGATTGTGATGATTAAGGCTAAATCATTTTACACACCCACACGTTTTTATAAATAATAGACACTATTTAAGCAGACATTTGGCATAAACCTACATCACCTTAATCCAACAAAATCTGTCTAAATTGGTCACAATAAGACTCACTTATATGTGACCCATAAATAATCAATTTCAACAGAGCCAGTGCATCTCTTCAATGATGTTACAAAGCTTAAACTCAAGATTTATCCTGCACTTGACTTCACTCTTCTGCAAAAGAGAAAAGCTTGACAAAATATTATTTTACTATGAACACAAGTCAACTCTGTGTTTATTTATATAGAGTTTATATACAACTGTTATGTGAAGAATTGCAGTGAAAATAAAGAGTGAGTCTGCAGGTATCATAGCGAAACAGGAACTTGCAATGTCTTTAGTATTTATTTTGGGTTACACTGCATCACATAAGATGTGCTTGCCCTCCTCCAACTGCCAGGCAGAAAGAGAGCTTCTTTAGGAACAAAAAACATTTTATTTTTCAGCTTAGAAAATGGCAATCCTTTAATGCTTTTGCCAACAATTAAAGGTTTTGCTGATTAAAACCCTTTTAATAGCAAAACAATGCAAAAAGATAAGTTGCATAACATCTAATAAAAAATGTCAAGATCTAAACAAATATATTTAATTGGAACACAATGCTTTAATCCGTTTACCAATGAAAGTTACAGAAAAAGGTCTGAGCAAGGTGAGGTTTCTAAAAATGTCAAAAGATGTGTGTCCCAATTTTAAATACAGAAGAAAATCTTCAAGTTACTTCTTCATAAAGTTCTTGCATAAAAACAGGTTATTCCCGATCCCGTACACATAGGGACTGATAGATGTGTAGGAAGTTGTGAGAAAGAACTCAGTCTCAGCCCAAAACGCATAGTCAGAGTGGCTGACGGTCAGCTGGAAGATCAGGTAGAGACTCCAGTCTACCTGGAACAACCCCATCGCTGCCAGCACAGCTATGGTGCTCCTCTTGAGCTTCTGGTCCTTGTTCTTCGTACTGAACTGGCTCGACCCAGTCTCGCTCGCCCCAGGTGTGACCGTCTTCCTCTGGCTCAGCAGCACCGCAATGATGAGGTAGCTGGTGACTGTGATGATGATCAGAGGCAGCAGGTAGCACACCACGATGAACGTGTACTTGTAAACACGGTTGAGTATGGGGCAATCGTTTCCACTACACTGAAAGAAGTTGGAAGGGCAGCTGCTGCTATTCCTTGTTGTGTTTCCCTGAAGGCCTTGAGGCTTGATTGCAAAAACTGGGAGACAAAGCAGCGTGGCGAGCATCACAAAAAGCCCGCTCACCATCCAGGCCGACCTGGCGTTGTCCAGGTAGATCGGGTTGACCCTCTTGTCGACGTCTCTCAGCTTCTGTCCACGAAAGATGCAGATGAGGACGGTGAAGAAGATGCTGGTGATTTCTCCGAACATTTTCAGGAACTGGAGCATGTCGCACAACCAATTGTCGATGGTGGAGGTCTTGAGGATGATAATATCGTAGATGTTCATGGTGACAATTTCCTCCAAGTTGGCAGCGGACAGTCCCAAGAGGAAGAACTCGAAGGATTTGACCCGGGCAAGCTTAGTCTGAATGATGGCAAGGATGAGAAATACATTACCCACAAGTCCTATGCAAGAAATGAACACTCTTAAACCCAGGAGGTTGACAGAGAAATAAATCATTGTTGAAAGAAGCTAAATCTTTCAAAAATCTTTCACTAGTTGTTCTTTCCCGAGAAGCAAGCAGAGGTGGGAGTTTTAAAGCAAATGTGTAGCATGTAACCCTTGTTATCAAGTTCTCAAAGGTGACAAGAACCTAGATTGGTGATTGGCTGCGCTCATTATAGAGAAAGGAGGACCCTGGAAACATTGAATGCTGGGAGTCATTATAGCTTTACCTCAGAGCATTTCAAAGCTTCATCTTGAGACCAGCACATTGTCTGATTTAAAGCAGTGACAGGTTTTTCCACTGGCTGACATCACCCTCAATTCCTGCAAGAGCTCATTTACATCCACCGACACTTGTTTTTGTCATTTCGTGATTTAATTAGCATGCTATATTTTATCTGACAGCACACTACTGTGACATACTACAAAAATCTTCTTGATGACATCTTGCTTAACATGTCCAATATTACCAATTAGGCAGTTAACTTGAGTACGTTTTATCTATTCATTATTAGAGGTGTGAGAAAAGAATGAGGGGGTCAAAGTCAAAGACCTCTTCAGGATATCAAAATATATATCTATTGAGATAGAAAAACAATTGGCTGATTGGACAAAGATCAGTGAATTATGGTTTGATCATTAGAAACTCAGGAGTCGTGTGTGGGTGGCTGTGTGTGTGCAATTTAGGATTTATTTTATTATTTAGAGAGGTAATAGACAGAACATTTAGGTCGTACAATGTGTCAGTTGTGTGTCTAAATACAAAGTATTTTTGGGAATTTCCTGTTGATTCATTACAAAAGAGTACGAGAGAAGAACTGTTCAGGACTGAAAACTGACATGCTTGCAAATATGTTGTCTTTGGAAAACCAATATAGTACATTTTGGAGGAATATCTCTATCACTTAATTAGGGTATAGGACTTCTGCTGTAAACAATTGAAATATCCGTCCGTTCACGTGATTGTGTGGTGGGCAAACAGAGTGAAAGGCATAATAGGACGAAGGCTTTTGGCTCCTGTTGTTCACACAGGATCAGTTCATGTTCCAGCTTGTTTCTTTTCCTCGTTTACTGCGCTGTCTAGTTAGCAGACGCTCTCTTCAATCAAGCCCTGCATCCTGATTCAGCTTAATTGTGGATCCCTGTGTGTGTGTGTGTGTGTGTGTGTGTGTGTGTGTGTGTGTGTGTGTGTGTGTGTGTGTGTGTGTGTGTGTGTGTGTGTGGTGTGTGTGTGTGTGTGTGTGTGTGTGTGTGTGTGTGTGTGTGTGTGTGTGTGTGTGTGTGTGTGTGTGTGTGTGTGTGTGTGTGTGTGTGTGTGTAATTAAAGATAAGCCCTACATTGGCAGTAAATGGGGAAACTAAGTGTGATGTAATGAGCCTGAACAGATTAGTTTTCACCATTCAATAATTTTCAATCAGAGACCTGATCAAATGTGATTTACTAGTGGTTAAATTGTTTCATTCTATTAAGGTGAAACAAAGTTAATTGATTGCTTTAAAGCACTTTTTTTCTTTTTGTTTCTTCTCTTTATTTTACTATAACTCCAACTTAATGCACAAATCACTGTTGTTAGTGATGTTGAATTTGGGTTTTTCCAATAATCATATTTTTTGTCTTTCTTATTTTGTACACACAAAATCCCAAACATAATACACTCGTGTTAGAAGGAAATAACATAGAGTTTTGCTTTGGGAGGTTACCACAAAACATTTATTTAGTGGTTAGCACAAAAACAAGTTGATAGCCCCACTTAACACTTGACTCATAGCCACAGCAGTGTTTCGAGCCAAATGCTAACCAGCATGCTAACTTGCTGGTAACATGCTAATGTTTAGCCAAGTGGCCACCTGTAGGTCTGAGAAGTGTAGCCAATGCTGAAGTTCCTGCACACTTTTGAAAGGCCAGCTGGGGGCGCACACAAAATGTCAAGTTTTAAAGAAGTCTATGAGAAAATTACCCTATTTCTCACTTGACAGACCCCAGGCAGTGCGGGTGGGAAACATCACATCCTCCACCCTGATTCTTAACACCGGTGCCCCTCAAGGCTGCGTGCTCAGCCCTCTCCTCTACTCCCTGTTCACCCACGACTGCGTGGCCACACACAGCTCCAACACCATCGTGAAGTTTGCTGATGACACGACCGTCATCGGCCAGATCACAGACGATGACGAGACGGCATACAGAGAGGAGGTCGAAAACCTGACATCTTGGTGCCAGGATAACAACCTCCATCTCAACATCAGCAAAACAAAGGAGCTGATTGTGGACTACAGGAAGCAGCAGGGAGAGGGACACGCCCCCATCGCCATCAATGGGACTACGGTGGAGAGAGTCAAAAGCTTCAGGTTCCTTGGGGTCCACATCACTGAGGACCTGACATGGTCTCTTCACACCACCACCATCACCAAGAAAGCTCGACAGCGGCTCTTCTTCCTCCGCAGGCTGAGGAGGTTCAAAATGGATTCCAGGATACTCTGCAACTTCTACAGGTGCACGATAGAGAGTATCCTCACTGGCAGCATGACGGCCTGGTACGGCAGCTGCACCGACCTCGATCGTAAGGCTTTACAGAGGGTGGTGAAAACTGCACAGCACATCACCAGGACGGAGCTGCCATCCATGGAGGACCTTTACTCCCAGCGGCTCAGGAAGAAATCACTACGGATTATCAAAGACCCCCATCACCCCAGCCACAAACTGTTCTTTCTGTTGCCGTCTGGCAGACGTTACCGCAGCATCCGGGCAAGGACAAGAAGATTCAGAGACAGTTTCTTCCCGCGGGCAGTGAGACTGTTAAAAAATTGAACTGTTGAAACAACTTCAAACATTCAACTGCTACTCAGTAGTATGTATCTAATACCTAATATATATATATCATTCCAATAACTTGTATATAGACTCATACTGCACTATTCCACATCATAACTTTATTTCATTTTTATAACTATTATTATTTTTGTATTGCTCTTGCTCTTATTGTTATTATGTTATGTTATTATGTTGCATTGTTGGAGAAGCCTGTGACATAAGATTTTCAACTGCATAATTACTCTGTAGCTATGTCAGATTGACAATAAAGAACCTTGAACCTTGAACCCTTGATTTTTCTTTTAAGTTTATGATCTTAAAGGTGGGGTATGTAATTTATTTCAGAAACACTTTTTGTTATATTCCATGGAATGCTCTTAACATCCCGATAGCAATGAATATATTAAATGCTTTGACAATAAATACATTAAAAAAATTCATCTGTGGAAGCCGTAGCGCTGTAAAAAGCGTGTGTTTGACTTCTTGCTACCAAGACACACATGTTGTTAAATATTCTAAGTGAAGACATTTTGACTTAAATTAGACAATTATCTGTTTACTGTTGCATCTGAAATAGAACATAGCCATCTACTCAATGTTTTTTTGTTTTACTAAGACAAGTTAAAATGCCTGTTAAAGAGGCTTCTATGCAAGAAATCGACTTATCAACTTCTTGTTTTAATGATTCAAAGTGCTAACATGGACTTGGCCTTTAGGGACTCAAAACATACATTGCACATGATCTTCATGATTTGAAATCAAACCTGAGAAACTGGGACTACTAAACTTGGACTTGAGCCATGGCACGTCGCCAGCATACATTTTCATCTAAATGTTAATATGCTGCGGCAATCAAAATGAATCATTTGCCAATCACTGTTTTAAGCTGCTGAGTTATATCGCTTGGTGAAAGAATTACATTTAATTAACAGTTCACCAAATTAAAATGTGTTTGACACTTGCGCTGAACTGTTAGCTGTTGAACAATCACTTGTCCGTGGGATTAATTAAGTGCGAAGGTGTTAAATAGAGTTTATAAAATACTTTAACTAAATGCATGGTTGGTTTCAGACATTCAAGTAGGAGTGTAGAGGGAAAGCTTCCTTTTTTTAGGTTTCAGACCTCTACAAATCTGGACTAAGCGTTTTATAAAAGTAACGTTTTAGTCAAATTCATGTGTTTGAGAAGTAGTGAGCATATGATAAATAAAACTATTATATTGCACAACTGGTGTGACAGTTTTTTAACAGATGTTTTGCTTTAGTCAGACGCAGCCCCAATTCACTTAAATCCATCAAGCCTTTACTTTGTTTTTGGATTCATCCTCCTCATGCCTGAGAAAACAAAGGTTTCCTCTATAATTCAATGTAACTTGGGAATTCAACCGAAGTATCTTTATTACAGAGCTTCTGTAAAAGCCAGGCGGATAATATTAAATAATGCAGGACCATCATTTTGTCAATCTATTTTTTTTAAATAACATTTTATAATGCATATTCTTAAAAGTCATATCACCTACACACAACCAATTGACATAGTAAACCTGGGGGTTTTGGGGCTCTGAAGTTAGTCTGAATACATCTCTGGTTTATGGTTTGAGTGTCATGGAAATGATATGAAGAAATACTCAATTGGGCACAGTTTTATTGGGAATATAATTAGAATTTGACCCATATTTGCAACTTTTGGCATGGAGCCCTTGCAAGTGCCACAGCTGAGGTTTTCCTGGCCTGAATCCCACTTTGGGATACACTGGTTTGTTAACAGGTGTTTCCAGGCTGTCTGACAGTCATCCCCCTGTCCTGTTAATACCACAGCAACATCCCTCCAAGAAAGTTACCACGGGTGGGACCAAGAGAGGCAGATACGCGTGGATACCCCTTTAAAAGACTCACCATGTTGCCATCACATGCTTCAGCACAGAAGTAGGATGAGGATGTTCTTGTTGTTGTTATATAAAACACATTTGTTTCTTGTAGTCATATACGGGACTGGACTGGACTTTTGGTGATTTTTGCTATACTTTGTATGGCAGGAGGGGGCCCAGCCCACACCGCGTGTCAGCGCTGCAGTCAGTCATGTTGTGCTGCTAGTTGTTGTTCAGTAGCAACATACACAGACTGGTGTACAAACTGAGCGCTGCGTGCACTGGTAATGCCAACTGACGGGATATAAGCGACGTGTGTGCGCGAGACGGACTCTCTACTATCTCCAGCAGCAACACTCAAGCTTCCGCAGCCGTATTGGCAGTTGGAGTGGATGGGATATATGAAAACAAACATCCTGAGCAGACCCCGCTCGCCTCGGAAAGGAGTGTTACCTCTTCTTACGAGAACAGAGTTGTTGGCTCCGTCTCTTCTCTCCTCTCGTCGATATTTTTGAAGTGGCGAACATTCGTGGCGGGTGTATTTCCTCTAGTTGAGCTGCATCGGTGAACCAGTCGGACGAGGCGGACTTGCCTTACCCAACCATTCGGAAAACAAGGTGCCCTGACTGGCTCCTCGCACCATTGGAAAATTAGACGAGATAGTGCCCGCCACGCAGAGCTACGTTACGGTAAGTAGCGGCTGCTCTACGTTATCTTTCCTCGTTAATTCTCTTTTTTGGATTCAGGCAGAGCAGGGGTCGCATGGCCAGCTTTCCTCCTTTTGTGTATGTTTTTAAAGTCATGTCTGGAGGACATTGCAGAGGCAGATAATGGCCATGGTGATGAAGGAGATTCCCAGGGAGTGGTACTCTCAGTCGGACTGGCCGTTCAATGTGTGTTATCATATCCCCTCCCTCCCCCAGTCACATCCAACAACACCACCAGCAGCAGCAACCAAAGTGTAATGTCAAAGCGATAATAGTGCTTTGTGTGCTCACTGGACGGGAACAAGGTCAATTATAGGGACACAGTAGCACACGAGCTCACTAATATTATAATTGGTTGGATTAATGCTCACCTGGACGTCCACCCCCCTGTGTTGGTGTGCGCGCGAGGGGTTACAAACTTTATGGCACATGATCCCATGAGGCATTTCTTGGGGGTTGTATTTCACTCATATTGGGCCTTAAACCGGCTACTTTAGTGGGAGTAAACAAATATGCCACTTCGAACTGAGGGTTAACAGTCAGTGTTGTACCGCTCTGCTCAGGTAAATGAGGAGGCAAAGCCAAATGCCAAAGCAATTACCCCACATCACCGTTTGCCAATTAGGTCATAAAGGCAATGAGCTCACAACGGATGATGCTGTTATGACATCATGGATAAACCCCCCGAGGCGTGGGTTAACAGTGGATGATCTTCAGGACATGCACTGTTGACAGATGTGTGTGAAGGGAAAGTGGATAAGGAAGGGCTTCCTTGAGTGAAGTTGTTCCTGGAGAATATTGCAATTGTACATGGTCTGTACTTATATGATCAGTTTTGTGTAAATATTTGTATCATGTTCCACTAGATTAGACATCCAATCAGGATATACTGGAGTTTCTGTGTGGTGTCATTTTACTTTTTTGTGCAAATTTTAACTGGAATCTGTTAACCTCATGATTTTTTAATTCCCTATCCTACGCTTTGAATGTTACCCTTCATTTGTACTCGCTTTGTTGGTTATATAATAGCTATGCATCGCATGTTAATACTTGCAAATCATGCACTTTTAATATTGAGATAGTGAATCAACCATATTTAAATATTTGATCAGTACTGGTAGACTGGTATTGCGATCTGTAAGTTAAGTAAAAGTTGGAATACAACTATGCAAAGTAAAAGTCCTGCAATCCAACTATTGAAGTCAACGTAAGCATTGGAAGCAACATTTACTGAAAGTATCAATAGTGAATATATTCCTTCAGCTATTACATTTTACTGAGTCAATAAATGTACTTCAGTTATGGCTCTAAGTGGAGATATGGGATGGGAACTCTAAAACATCAGACATGCATGTCACATGCTTTTACTTGGGATAGACTTGTGAGGATGTCTGATCAGAGACTCAGTAATAATGTTATAATATGTTTAATTTGTACATTTTGCGTGGTGATCCCTGGGCGAACACTTATTCTATTTGAACGCTCAGCTTTTCCTTTGCAGAGCATGTTACAGTACTTTGATATATTTAGGACATTGGGAGCAATATATTTCTTTGTCGGTTGATATATGGTGTAAACAACAGTGAGAGACTTATTGTCTCATAAATAATAACTATAGTGTAAAACTTGATGTGCAGTCTTGAATAAAAGACAGATCTTGATGTGCAAAGTTACTCTTAATGACACGAAACATCAGCTCAGGTGAGCTGCAGCTTCTAGATAAGGACAGTGTGAGCTCAGTGAAAATGAGACAAAAAGTACATCCCTTTGTCCTATCTAGGACAAAGGGATGTACTTTTTGTAAAATTACCTCCAGTTATGTTGATTTCTTAGGGCTTGATGACTGATAAAAGTTTGTTGTCCTTAAAGGTCCCATGTCATGGCCATTTCTACTGATCATAATTCCATTGTTGAGGTCTACTAGAATAGATTTATACTGTGCAATTTTCCAAACTCACATTGGTTTCTCAAACAGCATCTCTGTATAGTATGTGTATTCACTCTCTGTCCTAAACGGCTTGTTGGAGCTCCTGCCCCCCCCTCCCTATGAGCCCACTGTGCTCTGATTGGTCAGCTCGCCCACTCTGTTCTGATGAGTCCACCACCGTAACAGCGGAACATCAGTGATTATGTGTTACAATGGCGTTAGCAACCAGAAAATGAGACCAGTAATGACAAACAGATGAGAATGCTGCGTGGGGTCTGGGTGCCGTGTTGGCGGGACGTTGCGCGGCTCGCTGCTGCGAGGAGCGGACAGTGTGAGCTGGGTTCATTTCCTGCTTGCTGCGTGGGGTCTGCAAGACAACGAGACATCGCGAATGGAAGAGGGAAGGGGGGGGGGTGCTGAGGAGGCTGCAGCACCCCCATCTGCGAGGCTCCACTAGCACCCGCACCCCCCCCCCCTCCCAGCACCCCCAAACGCAGCGCACCTACAGTGTAAGCGCGCCCCCCCCCCCAGTGCGTCACAGTTTCGCTGCTGAGAGTGTGTGTGTGTGAGGAGCTCCACGGATTGGTCCATTTGGACCAACGGGTCCATTTGGGTATGGTCACGTCACTGTGCCCAGGAAGAAAAAGAGAAATCTCCAACGAGGCGTTCTGGGGCAGCATAGACAGGTATTTTCTGTGTTAGAGTTTTACTCGCTACAGGGTGTACTTTGAGGGCTTGTGACTTTGCAGACCGTTTACATGCAGAAAAACCTACATAACACACAAGGGGACGGGTAATAACCGGAAAAGCATGACATGGGACCTTTAAAGGCCCGGACACACCAAGCCGATTTTGGCCGTCGATGGGCGTCAGGCCAACGATGAGCGTTGACACGCCCTACTCAGAGTGGTGTGTCCCGCACCGTCGTGTCTTTTCAGCCGTGTCGACACCTTTTCGGCCGAAAAGTCGGCCAAAGGCTGTCAGCAAAATAAATCACTCTGATTGGCTGTTCAGCTAGCGAATCAGTGCATGAGAAGCGAAACGGAAGTGAGGGACCCAAACAAACTATTAAGAAGGCAAATCTGAGATTTATTTAACTCCAGCTCTCGACACAGGTTCGGGAAAGCCCCATGAGCTTCTCGCTGTAGAGTGAAAATGGAACGCACACGCTATTTGTTGTTTGTTTATATCACACAGTCTGTTCTTCTTCTCTCGGTTATCACGCAGTCTGTCTTCCGGTTGTTGCCTCTTTTGAATGACGAATACACACTACCGCCGCCTGCTGGTAAGGAGAGTTATTGCCACTTACACATGCGCAGTTCGTACGTGCTTCTTGGCCGTCGGCTGAAGTCTTTGTGGTGTGTTCCAGTGCGACACATGGCCAAGACGCAGAGACACGAGGCGACACAACAGTAGGGGGTCCGTCTGTGTCAGTTCTTTGGTGTCAGCTTGGTGTGTCCGGGCCTTAAGGCAGGTAACCTTTTTTCCTCCAAACTTAGGAGCAGAATATTTAAGATCAAGTGATAGAAAATGTTTGCTGCTTGTAAACCCATGAGGCTTGGACACACACAAATAAGGAAATTAATCAAAACATCTATATCTGGAGAAAATGGACAATGTGAGTGATTAGTAAACTAATATACTGTTATACTGACTGTATAATGCAGTGCTTTACTATTTCACATATATAATTAGGGATAGTAGTTGTTACCATTCTGACAGTCAGGCCTCCTCCCCAATATAGTCTGAGGGATCTTGAGATGACTGAGGAAAGCAAAATCAGAAACACTTTAGATATTAATCTTTCCGTGAAACATTGCTGAATCAACTTCTTATTAAACTTGTTTTCTGATGTTCAGCGAACTTAAATCACTTTCAAAACGTATGAGACAACTTTGAATTTATTAATCAAACTCACTTTAGTTTCAGCGTATTCAGTCAAGTCACATTTTAAGGCAGGAAGGGGAACATACAATTTGAAATTAAGTACCTCAAAACTGTACTGAATAACATTATTTTAGTTAACATACTTAGTGATGCTTCAAGACTAAACTTAAAGGGCACTCATAGGGGCTGACCTCCACCAACACCATGGCCTACCTCGCAATGTTAATGAGAGTGAAAAATAATGCGAGTTTGCCCTGTGATTCGGATCCGCTCCAAAATGTAATCCATGTCCCATATCCTTGCCTCAAGTTAAATTGAAGTCAGCCCATTCGTTTTTTCCGTAATCCTGCTGACGAACAAACTGAACAAAAATCATGACCTCCTTGGCGTAGGTAATCAATTGTCAATCTAATAGGAAGATATTTGCTCCTTAGTGAGATGTCTATTACTCTTATAGGCCTTGGTCTTTCAATGTTTTATTAAAATCAGAGTTGAAAGAATCACTTTTAACAACCGTCACATTTAGTAATACTCTCTCTGTTCACACCTTCTTAAATGCCATGAGACTGGCAGTGTAAATGAGAAGAAAACAAAGAAACAGATCTGCCATGCCACTCTCTGACACACTAGTTTATTGTAGTTGAACATCAATCTTTTGGAGTTTCTTCAGCAGACTTCACTACACACAGCACCTCTCACCGCTCCAACCTCACTAAGCCATCGTAAATGTCATAAAACTTTAATATAGAAGCGTTTAAATGACTCACACCTAGACCCATCATTAAATAGCCATGCAGGTATAATAACCAAGCCATAACTGTAAAGGCTATCCACTGAGAATGAGCTCTGCCAATATACAAATCAAATACTGAAATCATCAATGAAACACGGTCCATTGAAAGGGTTTTTGGATATGTGGCATATCCTGGATATTCCACATCAACCTTTTGTGCCATTCATTTACAATACATTGGCCTTAATTCCTGCAACATAAATACCACACTAGAATTTCTACAAGCTCCACAAATCTTACCCAAGTCCTCTCAGTCGCTGTAAGGCAGTTGGAGACATTAACTAATTCCTCAAGTACTCCACATATGTACAATTCTACGGTACTTGTACTATACTTCTATTTCATGCTTCTAATAGTTCTACTCTAGCTTATTTT